CTGGATGTGAACAACAGGTAGCTGTGATCTGGTAGGAGCGCAGGAAGCCATGGCACTCGTCCTGCCCTGTTCCTTGTGCCTGCAGCTGGCTGGAGAGCTGGGCCAGAGCCTTCTGGGGCCAGGTGTTCTGTGCGCTGGCCTTTGTATTGAGTGGGACAGTGCCAGGCACGGCAATGCTGCTGGTGATAAACTTTTCCTGAGATGCAACCACAATCATTTTGCCCAGTCTTCATCCCTGGAAGTTCTCAAGAACAAACTGGCTGAAGTGCTGCACGATCTGCATTACCGTTTAGCTGGTGCTTGAGCAGGAGGTTGGACTAGAGATCTGCTGAGGTCCTATTGTCCTGTGACCTGTACTGCACTCATTAAATAAGAATTTTGTTTTGTTTGCTATGTAAATTCTCATAAATCACTCTTCATAATCCAGATATTTTTAACCTTAACTGTAAAACTTTGCTTAGTCTTGTTGGGGCTTCTCATCTCTAAGGTAGTGCATTGTTCAGCACCAGCCCCACTGAATTTGTACTCTGTTACATGTGGACAGATTCAGTCACAGTTTTTTCTGTTGCAAATTCCTTTTCCTGAATTTTCCCAGCACTGAAGGTCATGGGCATTATGAAAAACGTAACTTCTTGCTTTCTGCTGTTTTTTTTTTTTTTTAATCATCATCTTGCTTCTGCCAGCTTTGCAGTGACTTTGCCATTCAGTTGCCTAACTACTAAACTCAAGATGCTCACAAGTACACACAAACATATTGAAATACACCCTGGTAGGTCATGAATTTGCAGATTTTACTGGCATCTTACAATTATAAATTCTCTTTTAAAAAACAAAACTAAAGGAAATGAAACAAAAGCATAATAAATAATGCAGAAGCAGCTGGTTTAGCTGCATGAATGCCTGGAGAGTATAACACACTGAACTTCCTTCAGCAATCTGCTATTCAAAGCTCAGGATGAAGCACACAAAAGGTCAGAAGATGATGAGATGTGCACTTAATTTGCAAACCTGAAAGATTTTTACTTAGTTTTAAGGGTATGGTTTAAAACCCGTAGGAAAAAAAAAAAAAAAAAAAAAAACAAACCACCCAACAAACAAATAAATAAGCAAACTCCTCCAAAACACCCAAAACCAAACACAAAATCCCCCAGGCGTATATTAAGAATGCAAGCTTAGATTGCATTGCTAGAGACCTCTTACAGTTTGAAAGAGCAGGGTCTGGTTTGGTTTTTTGGGTTTCCCCCCTCCTTACTCCCAAGAGAAGCAGCATATAAACCAATTAGTATTTCCCTTTCTAACACTTATGAGCAATGCTTACTATACAGAGTATGATTTGAGCTATGGAAATGATAATGAGATTTGTGAGTTTGTGTGATCAAGGCTGCCAGCTTTTGGCTCCTTCTCTGTGACAGATATGCTGGAATTGGCAATATTTCTGTCTTTCAGTTTGCCTTTCTAAAATCATTTTAGACAGCAAGAAAAATGTATGGTGCTAGCAAACAGTAACACCACCTATATTAACAGACAAAACCCAACAAAACTCACCTTACCTTCTTGCTGAAAGTCTTCAGCTAACGAATAAAGATATTTAAGTGTCTTGGAAAGCTCTGTTAAGTGCAGAAAACCAACAGCAAGAGCTGAGTCCCGCTCACCCTAGCGGTGATCTGCCTCCCCTTAGGAGTATCGAGTAGGGCTGGAACTGCTCCTAGTTACATCTTAACTTCTTTAAGTTGCACTTTAACCCAATGTTTCCTAACAAAACCAAACTATTTTTCAAAATAAGCCTCCCCCTTCCACATTGGCAGAAGGATTTTTTATTTTAATTATCTCAAAATAACTAAATCAGTTGGAGGTTTCCTGCATAACTTCCTGGGTTATGTTGTTCCCACTATTGATTCAAGAGATGAGATGATGTTAACAGAGAATGACCCTCCAGCCCAACAAAAAAATAATTAAACAGTCTAATGTACTTGGTCATCAACCTCCCCACCGTTCTGAGGTCACTCCTGCACTAAAGTGTCAGTTGTCAAATGATGGGACAAGACCCGAATTTCAATACAAGGCCCAAGCTGGGTCTGCACCCTTGCTATATCTCATGGAGACATAAAGCAGCAGTTCACTCTCCCTCATCTTTTAGACAGACACTTTTAGAGAGACATAAAAATGAGATATCAATGTCATTATTAAAATATTACATTGCAGAGCTCAAAACCAATTGTTATTTTTTAAAATACTGTGTTAACTGTAGACAAACTTACAAAGCCATCTTTGAAAGTTTTTTTCTTGGTTGTCTTGTGGCATGTGATTTAGAACAGCTCCATTTTATTTGAAAGAAAAAAAAAAGAAACAGAAAACAAAAGAAAAAAAAAACACCAACAAAAAATTTAATGGATTCTGCGCTCAAATAATATTGTTACAACAAAAATATACATCATGTACACCATACAAAAATATTTGGAAACGTACCATAGCATCTTACCTTGCAAATATCATTTTGTTTTACTAGCCCTTAATGGGAAAGTATAATTTGTTCGGTATCTTAAGGCAGAAAATTACATTGTTTAGTGCTTTGTCTGTAACACTAAGATGTGTTGATAGCATTCGGAGTATAAGCAAAGGAAAAGCTGCATAAATCTAGCTTTATTTGCAAACTAAACAGACACTGTGGGGGGGAGACAGAAGACAGTCAGTGACTAATGTATCTATTAAGCTCACTGGAAATTAAGGTACTTCTGCTACTTAAATCAGGCCTAGGGAATATTTTGTGCTCTGTGTTGTAAAGTACCCTGAAATATAAATTTTCTGTACCACTACTGGCATTTCAGAAATACCTCATTAGAAAGCCTTTTCCAATTAAAAGCCAATGATTAATGATGACATTAAAAATACATTTACCTTTTAACAAGCTTGGTTTCTGTCTTATGTGTGATTCTTTCTTTGTAGAGATGCAAAATTCACTGTTTTCCTTTATAACCAGCTCTCAGCATCAGTGATTGCAGAAGGAATTTTTGACTTGTATCACAGAGCCCTGCAGAGCTGCCTCTACTATAAAAGAAACAGAACAGCAGCAAAATTCAAAGAGGCTAAAACTCCAGAGGTGCTGGCCTTTGTTCTCTAGAACCCGATTTGCCTCCAGAGGTTGCTGGTGTTGAACTGCTTCTCCAGTTCCACTTCAGGTAAAGCCAGTGGATGGGGTTTCCAAAGCAACTGAGCTGAGCTTGGATTTATGTAAACAGATAGGCTTTGAGCTCATTACTCACTGAAGTACGTGTGAAAGTCCTACCCACGATCCTGTGAGACTAAATATTGGCACAAAACAGCAGCTGTCTTGTGAGGTCAGCAGATAGCTGTTATTTTAATACCAGCTCTAAATGTGTCAGATTCCATCCTTCATACCCCAGTTCAAATTGATCTACTCTGATTTAAAACGTATGGGCAGTACCATCCATCAGAAGGAACAAAGTCTTGGGACACACAATCCCTGAGCTTTATTTCTGGTCCAGCAACCTCAGACAAGGATAATTTCTCTGGCCTCCCCCTTCCCCATTGATAAAACTCTTCCTACTGCAAAAGGAGCAAGTAGTGAAGAATCACAATACGCCACGTAAGTGCTAAGATTCTTCATCAAATTATGGGGGAAAAGTGACATGAGATGTTGTCTTACAAACTCAGCAAAAGTAAATTCATCAGCATGTTTGACTCCTCTACTCCTCATTGAGATTGCTTCTGGTAACCCCCCCCCCCCCTCCCCCCCACCCTCCCTTCTCCTCCTTCCTATATTATTACTGATGTGTGCAAAATTAATCTCTGCCTGCCTCCAAGCATCTAGGAATAAAAGGTGCAATTTCCAAGCCCAGTGGACTTTGATCTACCTGGTTCTCCTCCTCCTCCTTCTTCCTCTCCACAGCTGTCTGAGCCACTTCTCCCATCTCTCCTCTGGGATAAGGGATCATCAGCAAGAGGCTCGGAGCCGGCCCCAGCTGTGCTGCCGGCAGGTGTCCCCGGAGGAGCACCCCAGGATCCCTGACTCTGCATTTCTGCTCCCGACACCCATCTGCGCTGGACCAGTGCTGCAATGTACTTTCTAAATGGGAAGTCCAGAACAGAAAAGTTTTGTTTGTTTGTTTGTTTTCCCAGGTGATGTATCCTCACTTAAGGACACAAGCATAAAATAACTTCCTCTAAAATGCATTGTTCAAGTTTGTACGTTGGTAACAGTCCTTGCCTTTTGCTCTAGCACTGCACATCCGCAAGGTTCAGTAGACGTACATTTTATCCGACTGATGTAAAATCCTGGCAGCAGCCGAAATAAAACCAGAACAATCACCAAAGCAGTCCCTCCGTGGATGGCTCCTTCAGGAACACATTGCTGACTGTGACAAGTCGGAAACAGGATGGAGAATATTACAACTCTGACATAAGCCAGCAGCTTCAAGGACATCTGGAGGTAAAAGAAAAGCTGTCTGCTATTAGCTCTCTGGTGCTGCAGCACTGTGGCACTCCTGGGTGCATCAGAAAATAACATAAGTAGATTTCCTGATACTCCGTAAAGACATAATAAGTTTTCACGGTGTAATTTTAATTATTAAAAAATTTTTTAAAAGCTTAAGCACTTTGCACTGCTCCTGATTCCATGAGCTGATAGATTGTTAGCAGACAACAGGCTCTGTGTACAGCCTGCTCTACGTATGGGGAGAGATTTCTGCTCTGATGAGCAACAATTCTTCACCCACAACAATCAGTTGAAAAACTAGAAATAAAAGTCAATTGGTGCATACTGTATTCTGATAAATTATAGGCAAAATAATCTAGGTTTTCTTGTGAATTAAATTTTCTACCAGAATTTTCAGCCTTCCTAAAACTTCCAGGGGAACTCCCATTTCTGCTCACCTCTGTTTTAAAGGCATCTGTAATCAGAAAGGCTTAGCAGTAGGTGAGGAAAGGAATGTCCTCCTTACGTGTTAACCATGCTTCTGTCAGTGCTCTCCTAGCTCCCCACTCTTCTGCTTGCCTGCTTCTCCCCAGGGAGATGATCTCCACCGCTCAGAAGCTCACTGGGCCAGCACCTGAAACAATGCATGTAAACTCTTGTGACCGCTTTGATCTGGACCCAAACTGCAGAGGTACAATGGCATGGGGAACCAATGCCCTTCTCCAAAATGAAGAGCTCTGACCCTCATCCCTTCCTCTTGTTCCTTGAGCTGAGGGCCCATGAGCAATGTATTAGCCATGCAGAACAACAAAGGTGCAGTTCCCCTTCAAGATCCCATTCCTGTGCTCAAAGATGGCAAAAAATGTTTCTTTTGCAGGCAAGGCTCATTCCAGGATGTAGGAACACATATTTTCTCCCCCCTCCCTTTCCCCGAGGCATCAGGAGTTTTACTAGCGCATACTGTGGGAGCAGAACTTCACCCTTTCAGACCAGAGAGATTTTTCCCATAAGAGGCAAAGAAAGGTGCAGCTGATAAGCACTTGTGAATGTCCCCTCTAGAAAGACAGACTCCTACCAGCTTGTGGTATCCTCTGGCAGCACTGAGAATAAAGCCCACGATAGACATTTGGTTACAGCACAAACCCAACTGCTACAGTGCCCATGAGGTGTGCTGCGGAAGGCTCTGGTGGCTAGTGCCTGGGCACCAGTATGCAAGCAGAAAAAAGGAAGAAACGAGCTAGTCTAGAGAGACCCCTATGGCTGCTTTATCCAGGCCATCAAACTAGGTGGGTAAAGGGCAGAGAGAAGGAGGGCATCCACACTCCTGGGCTGTAGTTTGGCAGCTCTCTAAAGCAAGAGGAAAAATAACATAAGCACCTTACAGAGAAGTGTACCTCGTGCTCTAGATGTTCCAGTCTGGTCCCCAGGTCTGTGCAGGCAGCCGTATGGACTGTGCTACAGACCAGTCACAGATTGGTCAAGCCCAGGTTTTAGCAATGTTAAAGAAAAAGGCATCATTGCAGCTAACTGTTGCTTGGAGCCCCTGAGCATCCACTGCCTCGGGAAGAGGCACCCTCAGAATTTAGCAGTCACTTTAAAACCAGTTTTATCAGTTTCACGATGATCACTGTAGCACAGTAACACCTCTTCCACTTCAGGGGGAAACCAGTGCTACACACAACCTGATTTGGCTCCACTGACTCCAGTGGACAGACAGATTTGGCCGCAAATGGACTGTATGGCTGTAAAGATCAGACAGTTCCCATCCTGCACTGCTAGAGGTGATCCTGGTCCCACTTTTCTACTAAGAACCTGCTGGAAGAGTTGAGATCCTTTCTAGGAGCTCACTGCAAGCCAGGTGTTGGATCAACGTGGCCAGAAATAAAGTGAGAAGAAAACAGCACCTGATTGTCACCTGATAAAAAACACAATTGAACATTTGCCCTCCTTTTCTCCACCTCTCAAAAAAGAAACCTCAGCCAAACCCTCTAGCCACAGCAGGCTGGGGGGAAAAAAAGATAATTAAAATCAAGTGAAACATGCACAGTAAAAGTCACCTCTGGCTGGGTGTCCACAACACTCTTAAGAGTCCCCAAGGTTTATAGTGCAATTTCATTTGACCTGTAGTTGAAGACCAGTCTCCATCACTCTGGGTGATCAAGTTCTGCTGATTCCTTTGAAAGGTGCATAAGACAGGTTTCACCGTAGGCTAAAATATCTTAGGAACCATTCAAGTAATTAGACAGTGGCACTGGTATGGCTGGACAGATGTGTCCACAGAAACCAAACCCAAGCTGCCGTGCGAGTACCACGCGAGTCTCGAATTAGTAAGCGCCTGCTCTTTTTCCCTTCTAGTGGTCAGTAACACTGAGGAGATTCGTTCAACAACTGGCCATAATTCCAGCACTGACCCGGAAAATACAAATATCTCATACAAAATATTGATGTGTGCTAACAAACCAAGTGATAAGTGCCCTGTACAAGCCACCCAACAGGAGCCCTGGCAGCGGAGAAACTGCGGGGTCCAGGCCAGCCAGCATTACAGTACCTGCTAGATTTGTGAACAAACTGATCAGCCTGTTCTTTTGTGAGATCTTTAACCATCTCCTCCAGCACACAGTTGTGTTCCAAAGAATCATCCTCCCCTAAGTTAAATATAAAAATAGATCCTCCGTCTTCATCCATTTAACATAGCTGACAGATTACTTCCGCTCTCAAGTTTTCTGTCTCATGTTTTCAAGGAGGGGGAGGTAGCTTTAGATCCAACAGGCTGTAGGCAAAAATGTTCCAGAATATGGCAAACAAGACAAAAATGACATAAATAGAAAGGAAAATCCACCATAAAGTCTGATTTTGGAGTCTCTGCTCATAGTTCCTCAGGATGATGACACCAAGGGTAATTCCAACCATCACCCCTCCCAGGTGAGCCATGAAGCTGGGGTGGGGGCACGGTGGGTAAGCGGAGGGGTGGAATCGCAGCCACACGGCTCTTCCAAATTCAAAGCTCACTGGAAAAAAGAAGGAAAAATAAATTAATTGTCTAGGTCTCTCCTTTCTTTAGTCCATCTTGCAGGCAGAGCTGCATCCCTGAAGAGTTGGAGAGGGAGAAAATGCCTTGTACGATGAGCACAGGGAAGCTGGGAGGCCATGGCCATGCAAAGGTTGTGGTACACAGACATGAGGTCTCCCCAGTGGCTGGCAAGTGGTTTGGGTTTGTGGCAGTGTAGACAGGTGGGGGCCTTCCAAAATTTATACCAAAAAATTTATACAATTTAAAGACAATTGTCTGTGATGAATACATGGCCTAGTTTCCCTTATCGTGCCACCCTAGGGATATGGCTGGAAGATAATTCATTAATTTGTATATAATGCTGTTGCTTTCCAAATAGGAAGTGCTCTAGGAAACTGAAGTATTATCATTATGAAAGTATTGCTTGCTTGTGAATTCAAAGATAAAACATTAAAGTCTTCTGATCTTCACAAATGCCACAAGCTACAGATGCTGGCTAACAACAAATCCTCATTTACAAATGCTTGTGTTGAAAGCCAAAATCTGCATTTGAGAGTGATGTGGTTTCTGTTACCAGAAGGCCCAAGTGCAAGTTCCTACCAAAACTGCTGCAAAGTCAAAACTCTCTGAATCAGCATGAAATCTTATGACAAGGACAAACAAAAACATGACTGCATGTGTGCCAAGTATTGCATGATACTTACTACAGACCAAGGCAACAGCCATGCGCAGCAGTTTGAATTGGCACTTCATTCCTGACCAGTTCTGGAAAAGAGACAAGGAAAACAAAGTGATGCTGCATGCAAACCTGGAGGGATTTTACATTCAGATCTGCACTAGAAGAGCATCAAGGATGACCGTGGCCATTCCTTGAAACAAACCCCTTTCACTGCCTTTACCACCTGCCTGTGAACTCTCCATTCACCGCACCAAACACAGCTCTGTCAATCCCAGAGGACATAAACATGAAGGATATATTGCAGACATGTCCAAGTTATGGACAGTCCGTGACTTCTTTGCCTGACAGTCTTACTGACTTTCCTTGCCTGAGATCCAGCTGGTGTGGCGTGGTCCTTGGGTGGTCTTGCAACACTCTATTCTTCAGATGGACTAATTTTTAACATGTTAGTATGATGTTTCACCTTAAATTCTGACTTCTGAAAATATTTGAATTTACCTACCCTGCAAAACCCTGTTGTATTAGGTCACAACAAATAAAGTTACATTAAGGAGTACCTAGCATTGAACACAAGGATCACTCTGGTTACCATCACACAGCTCATCATGGTTCACTTGGAGGCCCAGCATTGTCACCTGTCTGGCAATTGCTAAGTGCATTCAAACCCTACTGTGCTTTTCCAGTGCTACTGCCTGTACCTCAGGCTCCCTGAAATTCTGCAGCTCAGATCTTTGGGGTTTTTTTGTTTGATTTGCAACTCAGAGCACACACAAATAATAAAGACTGCAATTAAGTCATACCAAGGAAACAGTGCCATAAGAACGCCTGGATTTGGCCTCCTCTGTCTTCAGGCTTGGTCATTAATCAATATAGTGGAATAAGGATCTCTGAATGATAGTCAGAAATCCTGGGAGAAATGTTTAAATTCCTCCTTTTCCACTTGCACAAAATTTCCAAGCAGAAAAAGAGATCATGTTCTGGGAAACTCAGATGTATCACAACACTGTTACTATTCTTATTAAGTCACTAAATGAAATTTTGCCTGTTGAAAGCAGTATGAGATACCAAGCTAGCCTGGTGACAAACTCCCTGTTCATCACACCAAAGGAATAAAAAAAGCTCGTAAATTCTTCAGATTAACTTTAATGGCACCCAGTGATTTTTCAGCCTGCTGAAGAAATGTTCTACTACACATATCAGAATATATTCAAGTTTTATGTAGGATCTGTCTGTAAATCACTTCTGTGAATGCAAAAATGCAGCTTCCACAAAATAAGGAACTCATTTTCTCTCTCCACAGAGACACCTAACCCAGTCGGAAGGCTCTGAACTCATGCTGATTAATACCGTTCTGCTTCCTTCAGTTTTCATTTCCATGTAGCTGTTTTGAACTCCTCACTCTGTTCCTTAGGGTGACACACTTTATTGCTTGCCCTTGTTGGTTATTTTATGAATTTAATTCCAATAATATTTATTTTTACAAGCAGGA